TTGAAATTAGTGTACAAGTAACGTCAGTGATGGCAATCTTAATATGCAAGTATCGTACCGCGTCACGATAGTATGACTTTTTACTAGATTTCTTATCGTTTTGAAACTTATTTTAGGATTAACTCGYACAAATGTTSTTTCTTTGTGAAACYAAAAGAGAATATRGACAAATATGGCAGTTTTMCGGGGAAARCGTCAACACGATAAATTTGCATATTCAAAGTTCGAAACTGGCATTTGAGCAAAATTCAGAGCGATCCTACAGTTAAGAATGAGKAGGTCCTAAAAATGTCTATGCTTATTCTGATACACTGGTCCTAGGAGTAAACAAATATGATTATCTCGCTTTTGGAATGGTCTGGACTTTCAAGAAAACTTGACGTAAATATTTGTATTATCGCGTCCGCATTTAGATTTCTAAATTATAAGCTCTTTTGAAAAATCATGATTTAATGTACTTCCAGCCAAATGCTAAGATTTTTACAGAAATGAAAGCAGTAGAGTAGCTCAGTATTCTGTGAGGAAATTATTTTAATCAAGTAAAAATCATGAGTTTTAAGAGACTTGAACATAGGGCCAACATTTGCATATCGAAAATGACAATTTTACTGGATTTGACCGGCATGGAAAGATTACTCTAAAAATATAATATAAAAATTAGGTAAAACCTAATAGCGGAGCTCCCAAAAGATATGCATGTTGGATAAAGATGGGATGCAAGACACATTGGCCACATTTTTAGTACATGTTTTGTCAAGACTAATTTATTTTTTCTAACAATAAAATTCCATTACACTACATATTAAATAATTATTAAATATTTTCTCTTCAGCTTTGTTGATGCAAAGCAGTGATACATATAAATATATGTAAAGMAAACCACTTATTTTGAATTCTTGTGGTATTGTGTGCATTCAGATAGTGCACAATTTCTTATGAAGAGTACACCATGTATAATGCTAAAAACATAATTTAGGTTATTTACCAAAATAAAACTTCTTTAGATAGAGTACAAACACTAAAACTGTGCAACATAAATACCACTAAATACTGCTAAATTATGCTAATTCTATTGTTTTCTATTGTTTAATTAACATTATTTTGTACTAAATAGTGGAAAGTATTGCACACATTTAATGTTTGTACTCCGATTACAGAAATCATAAATTAATATAAATTATTAATATATTTTGAAACTTTGACTTTTCAATCATACAGGATTTATGTATATTATTAAATGCATTTTGAATTGACAGTTGAAATTTTTCAATCATGCAGAAATACGGTAAAAAATAACAACAAATGCATCAGTTTATATGTCAATAGATTGAAATTGTTTGCAATTTTTTTTGTAAATTCTTAATAGTTGGTATTTTTCAATCTTTACAGGAATCATAAAATAATATAAATGCATTTTGACAGTTTTGGTATTATTCAATCATGCATAAATCATAAATTAATAATYAATATGTTCTTGAAATGTTCAAAATTTTTGATCTTATAATGAAAATGTTACACACTTTTGCTTACACCAATGTCATTTAATAAACAGAACATTACAACTGTCACTTGAAGATATGAATTTTATCTTCAAGTTTTGAATTTATTTATCMCASGAGTTAGCACAATATTTCCATGCACCCATGCAATATCCCTTTTTTAATCACACAGGAATGAAAACAATAATAAATGCATTTTGGCAGTTGATATTTGTCAGTCATACAATGATCCAAAAAAATGATTTATGGGTCATTTGAATTTGACAGTTTTGGTGGTTTTTCAATCATACAGGAAACATACCTAATAAATTAATAATTTAATCACACAGGAATGACACTAATTACCTCAATACATTTTTTGACATACAGTGATCATAAATGATAATACATTTTGACAGTTTTGTAAACAATTTAAGGAATCATAAGCTTAATGTTCATAATGATTATCCATTTTTCAACTTCTCAAATTCTTTGCTTATCTTTGCTCTCTGTATTTGTTGACAGTTTGTATTAAAGAGTTTATTGAAGAATAAAGAGTAAAAATCTGAACATTCAAATAATATCAAGGCTCTCTTTTCAAAATGCATAGTTTTATACTTAAAACATCCGAGTAGTTTTATGTCAAACAAGATTATTATTGTGGATAGAATGTACACACAATTCACACATATTTTCATTGTCAACAAGCTCATTTAATTGAGAAGTTTTGAAGTGTATCAGGTAAAGATTTTCAAATTCAAAAGCAAATTTAAACCAGACTAAAACTGCCTATTATAAGGTTCTTGAAGTAGAAGAATTGATATAATTGAGCACCAAAAACCGCTTGCATGTAAGCTTATAATCTAACATACCGCCATTTGTTTAATAACGCCACGGTATCGTCGGAGAATATGTCAGTTCTCCTATGAGAAATTCTCCCTCAATAATCGTTGTCTTTGGCGTTCACTTGTTTCTCGATTTGCTTGAGTCTTTATTAAATTGTTTCGTCTATCACGTTTTCTCTCCCTTTCAAGCCTGCGTTGTTCTTCACTTAGACTTCTTCGACGCTCTCTTTCTCTTCTTCTTGTCTGTTCCTCTTCAGATAAAGATCGCTTTCCGTTATTTACCCGTTGATTTTCCGACATTTGGCGCAGAAGTAAAGTATTTCAAAGGACAAAAATGGAGTCGTTGTGTCGTCGTTGTGGTGAAAAAGTTGTTTCAAAAATTGACGCGAGCGCGCTTCCTTTTCCCGCCTTCTCAAAAGTAGCCAATCAGAATCGCGATGTACACGGACGGACGGACGGACG